AATCAGATAAGGCCTCCAAACAATAAAATCACAAAACATGAGACAGTGCCGAGGTTGACATCCAAGAATCCGATATTCGCCGACTCAATTAGACTCATTTTTGCTCAGTAGGGTGCTTGAGAAAAAAGCCAGCTGGGGTTGGTGCAGAAGTGGTCTTTTGACAACCCAAAGGCTGCTTCATATACTTCAGGTGAATGCAATAACAAAGTAAATTAAATACCAAGAGCAGAGGCATTACTACAAGCCCCCCCCCCAATTTCGAGAAAGATAAAAAGGGGTTTGTAAAAGTCCATCTTGGTCTAGGTCAGTGTTAACTATGACTGAATCTCCACTGAGTGTTCTCCTCTGGGAAATGAGGGCATCCAAAGTGCCCCCCCCCCGCAAAGTTAACCCCACCTACGCCAGTAGGTAAAGGGGAAAATTCTCACCTTAGCTGTTAACCTCAACTTGCATAGTGCATATCAGGTGATGTGTTGTGATTCCAACAGGTGCCGTAGGGTGTCAGCGTCAGGACATTCACTAGTACTGCAGGCAAAGAGGTAGACGAGTCAGGATACTCAATCATGTCACACTACAGTCAGGCATCAGCGCTGTGAACGTAACAAAAACGTCAACCTTTGCTGAATAGAAAAATCATGCACTTGCGCCTGGTATTACCAAGGCTCAAGATATCCCGCTGATGAGTCCAATCTCCCCCAGCGACTCTGACTGGAGAGACATGAACGCCAGAGATACTGCCGTGTTGTGGAACACACTGTGAATGTTGTCCCAAGAGCACATGGAATTTGAAGTTAAAGTGAGAACCTTAGATTAGTGGGAAAGGATTCATCTAGTACAACTGGTCCTACTTAGAAGCATCTTGGAGTATTCGTGTAAGTTTGTCACAAACAATGGTAACACGTCCCATGGTTTGCTTTGGGGATGGTCTCTCTGTTGAACAAATGACAGTTGCCACACGATAAGGAGCCGGTGAAGAAATTCCTTAAGATAGATTTGAAGATTTGAAACAGTGCCTTTAAGAATTCCACAGATGGCGCTGCCTTCTTTGAGGTTTGACGAACTGTTTCTTGAAGGGTTCCAGTGCAAATGACAGGTATACACCGTTTCAACTTTCGCTGGATTTTGACCACAGGTCAGTGAAGAAAAAATTGATGGAACATTTCAACCCCGGTAGGGTTGACAAAACATGCATAGCACACTGTCGGTGATGCCAGCTCCCGGTGGGCATCTCGGTAAAAGAAGTGATGATGCACCTGTAGATATTTATTCCTCAGAACTGTAAGAAAACGGCTTGAGACTGTAGCATACAGGTGCGGTGGAAGTTCTTTGGCCTGACATGCCAACTGAAGACCTCCGTCAACTCTACCAGGTCGTCATGGTTGAAATGTTCCACCATAGTCTGCATCCAGCAAGAAGACGCTGTGTGGCACAAGTTAGGAGCGTGGTTGGTACACGAACGACGTGGAGCACTACATTTGCATCAATGAAGATGACGAAGAATGGTGGTGCTCTCAAGCGTCAAACTACAAAGTCCCACGTATAGGTGCATACTGCACCTGCCGCTAAAAGACTGATGGGGATAAGGATGTGATCTAGTGAAGGGCTTCCCTTGGCCATTCAAACGTAAACCATCCCATCTCAATAGTAACCATGCACCCTATCAGCGGTTAATTTTTCGTCAATGTTGACACCTTGCATATACAAAATTAAAAGCAAAAATTTGAAAGGGAAAATGAATAACCCCAGTCTGAAGCGTTCATGGAATGGCCAGTTCTGTTTCACACTGTCCTGAGTCGCAAAGAAGGTCACAAAATGCAAGATTCGAGGAAATGAAAATAGAGTGAATGTTCAAAGAGCGATAAAAAGAAATTAATACCAGTCACTTTGATCATAGTAATTTGTCTCTTTTTTTTCACAAGTTAAACCAATATTGGGCCAGAAATAAATAAGACAAGCTTGCCTGGGGCTGGACGTGAACTGACTTGAATGGAGCTCCTTGATGTCACAGAGGTTATCATCATGGTGGTCACAAAATGGAAGGGTGGTTACGGAGAGGTGAACTGGATCAGCTCCATCAAGGTAGACCTATCGGACATCTTGTAGTCTGCATCGACAAAGCGTAGGAAGTGCAGGCTGAAAGTTATGAGTTGAAGACAAAACAACTTTGGGGCATTCCATCCGTTTCCTAACTCAAATGAAACTACAAAGCAAGTTCTTTGAACTTTCAAGTCATTTTTGCTTGTTTAATATCCGAGAATCAATCATTTCATAAATACAAGAGTAATGCAGATGAAATCCTAAAAACCATATGGAACTCTTCTAAAATGAAATTCCTGTGGTTCAGTTCCGTAGCAACTGTCTCTCCCATTCCAACCAGAGTTACAAACTAAACTGGTCATCTTATTTGTTATTATTTATTCATAACTATTTCTAGTAAAAGACAACTCAAAAGTGCCCAAGGCACTGTAGCTCGCCGGCCTGAAGATACCTGTGGAGAGGAGACAGTGAGAAGCAGTTACAGGTTTAGAGGCGGAAGGAAAACCCCAGAGGAATATTCTGGGTAAAACCCACGGAATCAGGTAGGAACTGAAAACCTGATCCACGCTATAAGCAGACTTCCTTTTGGGAAGGCCCCTGGTGATCTCCATTTGTCATCAAGCAGGCAAGGAACGCACTTCCTAAGCCCCCGGCAGATGGATTTGACAAGTAACAGCTGGAGTGTTTCCTGATCATCTAAAAATAGCCAAAGTAATACCAATTAAATAAAAAAGGTGGTAAACGCGATGTAACCAACTATAAATTTAATCCTTATTAAAATGCTTCTCTATCCATAGGCATCACTTAAAATCAATTTGTCACGCGAGAGCCCTAGGGCCATTTTTGCAGAGCCAGTCACAAATGCTCATTTGATCTTAAACAATGCAAAGTTGATGCAGGTTACTAGTACAACATTTCTGGGTGCAACCCTGGATGAAAATCTTACTTCAAAATCTGACTGTAGATTTGTAACAATCAACAGCAAACTGTAGATTCCTAACGAATCTGCAGTTATTGTAGATTTGTAACGAATCTGCAGTTATTGTAGATTCGTGTCGAGGAGGAAGGTGACCTCATGTCCACCCCTCAACTTATTTTGATCATACAAAGTGTGACTGAAGGGTTGAGTTGGGTAAGAGTAACACTACGATGTGCTGCCGTGACACTGATTCTAAAGGTCCTCGTAATAGCTACAGTTAGCACATTTAAGAGATACCCGGAACGCCCACACTCCGGCGTTATTGTGTATGTTTGCCTTTCTCCATAGAAAATGACGTAGGTTGTTATCCCTTGTGTTTTCAAGATCAATGCTTTAGAAAGCAAAATTTTCAACAAGGATTTGAATTTTCTCTTCGCCTTTCAGTAAGGAATTAATTTGATGTGTTTTGGCTGCTTTTCTGTGTCTACGTTTGCCCACTCTTTTCTTATAATGTCAGATTATGGTTTAATTGAATTGACACAAACTCGGGTACATCTTCTAGTTGTTCCAAGATCATACCGGTCCTGAGGTGACAGATCTGTCAGAATCGCTGCTCCCCGAGTGTATGGTCCAGCACATATATCTCAGTTCATTTAAAACGTTCTTGTATATAATCTTGCTTGAAAAGTTAGCCTGTGAATTTTCTTGTGTTGTTAATGATTGTAGCCCTATAAGCAATTTTAGGGGGATATGTGCGCTTTATAGAAATTCTTTAATGTCATTATTTAGCTCCAAATTGGCATAGGATTTGAATCCAAAGTTGCTCTTTCTCCAAATGAAATAGCAACCTGTAGTAAGGGGACACTTTTGGAATGATTTATAAATAATAACATGTCAGTATCAGCGAAGCTCATTTTGAGTGGTTTGTAAAGTGGTTCGGAAAGTGCTAACCATACTTTCACGAGGTGGATACAGCATTCCTCAATTTCATAGAGTCCTGTGGTGGTTTTAGTCCGTTAGGTTTCACTGCAGTGACACACGTATAAGAATGAATCAAAGGCGCAAGATGCAGAGAATACAGGCACATATCTAGCACCGAGTGTCGACTGCACAAATACTCTCATGAAGTTGATACAGCAGTCCTCAATTTCACAAAGTCCTGTGGTGGTTAGACCGATAGGTTTGGCTGCAATGACACACGTGTAATAATGACTCCAAAGCGCAACAGGAAGAGAAGCGAGTTTGTCTCCAGCACTGACGGTGTGGACTGCACAAATTTCAGGTGGCCCAAACCCATGCACGTCAATGAATAGAACAAAGGTGTGCACTCAGTTGAAAGGGTATATACCCAGCAAGAAATGAGACCGAGGGGTACCCCCCCAACATGTCCAATCCCTAGACACATTCCAGAC